AATCTAATTAAATGTTATCTTAATACAAACTACTTTATACTTATTTTTTTCTTTTGAATTTAGACATGTATTGTTGACATGTTTGGACATGTTTTTAACTGGTTTCATGAGATTCATCCATTCACTCCCATCACGTGTTAAACTTTTAGCACTCCCGCTGACTCAAGTGATTGAAACCCAGTGAGAGTGTGCAGTGAAATGTGTTTTGTCTAACCCTTATCTGTTGTTGAAAACTCCAGAAAGAAACAGGTGACATCTTCCTGTCAGCTGTCCTGTGGTGCTGCGTTTGGAGAGAAGGTGGTTTTGAACTGCACTAGCTTTAAACCTCATGTTCCCTTGCAGTTGTTACATACATCTTTTGGCTGAAAATGACACTGCAGACCTGAATCTAGTTCCTGTGAGAGAGGAAGTAGAGTCTGCAGAAGAGCAGACTGAGTTTGGTGACCCGGTCTCTGCTCCAGCAGGGTGTCTCTGTGCTGCTCTGTGCCCAGGTGCATGTAGATCCTTATCGTTTAATTTGGTCTGTCGTGTCTGGACTAAACAGGCAGAAAAACCTCCTGTCATATCAATTAACTTAACAACCGGTGATGGAATGGCTGTCAAGCTTTTGGCACATCAAACCCTCTGACTCTATCTCTTTCTTTCTCTCTTTCCATCCTGTTTTCCGAGGCTTATCTCCATCCGTCCCCATTCATCCTCTGGCTGTTAAACATGGACAGAATGCTGGTTATTTCATGTCATTGATGTGCCTGGCCAGCAGCACACAGCTGTTTCTCTGTGTGTGTGTGTGTGTGTGTGTGTGTGTGTGCGTGCGCACCATTTGCGGGTGTTTCTTTAATTACGGGAACTCTTATGTCCCAGGGGTTGATTTTTATTTAAACAAATTAAAATATATAAAATGATTTATTACTTTTCCCCCCCTGTTTGTTATATGAAGGTCACACACTTTTTGAAAGTTTTTAACATGCCTTCACCATTTTATTTTTGTATAACTGTTTTACGTTTGTCTCAGACCAAGATTTTCAATCTTAAAACATAAATATAAATGATTACCTTTTTAAATGATGATAATCTAAACCTAATCTAAAACCTAAAGAGTCAAATAAGCAAACAATTTACACACTAAACAGTTAAAAAAAATTTGTATATATTTTTTACACTCTCTTGGAAAGTGTTTAACATCCCTTTGCCGTTTTTATTCATTCATTCATTCATTCATTCATTTCTCAAAAGGTTTTTATGTATTATTGTTTGTCCCAGACAAATATAAATTTTTATTTTATTTTATTTTTACATTTGTCCCAGACCAAGATTTATAATCTTAATATTAAAGCATACAGTGGGTACGGAAAGTATTCAGACCCCCTTAAATTTTTCACTCTTTGTTATACATTTTTATTTTATTTTATTTTTACATTTGTCCCAGACCAAGATTTATAATCTTAATATTAAAGCATATATAAATAAAAATTATTACAATTTTAAAATGATGATAATCTAAACAAAGAGTCAAGTAAATATAAAGTGTATTTTGTTTTGTTTTATTTTTTGCATTGTGACATTTATTATGAGTGAACATACTTCCCTTATATTTGTCTCATATCTTGATTTCCATTTTTACACAAATTATGATTGATATCCATCGCAACCCTTCATTTCAAGTCAATGTACTTGGTTACCAAGGCAACAATATCATCAGTGATGAGCATGATTGAAATGAAATATAATACATATGTGAAGAATATATATATATATATATATATATATACACAGTGGGTACGGAAAGTATTCAGACCCCCTTACGCCGTCAAGGTTAAAACAATTTCAATAGACTGTGCATCTGACACGTGCGGCCTGAAATTGCGTGTAAGTTTTGCTCTTGGTGCGTAATGTTTCGTATTGAGGAAACAAGAGGAAACTTACTTGTATGTGCCAAGTGAGATTTTGAAGTGAGAATGGGATGAACAGTAGTTCATTAATGCAGACACTAATTAGGAGTCCTACAAATATGGATATATTTACCAGGGTTTTTTAAAAATTAAAGCTTTTTTACTGTTGGAATTGGGCTGACTGTCTGTCCACTGCACATCGTATTCAATTCCTCCGGTTTCTTCCTGAAAGGCATGTGTCTTCTCCGGTTCGCTGACTTTAACCTGTTGTTTTGAAGTAGTAATTGTCCAGGCCGGTGGACTGTGAAAGCCTTTGGTCGACCTGTTGGGAGTCCGAGCTTTACGTTCGACACATCCGTCTAAATCAGATCAGCCTGTGCCGACTATTGACCAAGCAGTAGCAGTCATCAGCTCCACACTGCCGTCTTTGCATTTCAATGGGTCAAGTGCTAATGCAACGGGAGAGTGGATGTGCTGTTTTTGCGAGTGTAAAATATGATGAATAGCAATAAGCCATTCAGCCCTGCAATCAGCAGCAGCTTAAAGCTGGAATCAAGGCTGACACGTTGACAAACGGAGAATATGGTGCATGAATAGACTCTTTTTGGACTGTCTTCCATCAAGCATTGATTAAAGTTGCAGTGTCGCTGCATTCCGGAGACAATAGTTAGTTTAATAGTTATTTTTTGAGGGTGAGATCTGATTGGCTCTCCATTCGGTCTGATCAGAGTGAATTATTGCGCCCTTGAGATGAGCTTCCTGTGAAAGGGAATCTTAAAGCAGGAGTCGGTGGTGATTCATCACTGTTCCCGAGTTCTATTACACATATAAAAATCCCCTTTCATCACACTCTGTTGGCCCTTCAACGGTATCACACAAGATTAATTAATATTGTAAATCTGCTTTTATTGCCATTTTAAACAGGCGGATTCATAGAGTTGTACCCGGCCACTTTTCTTTTTTGATCAAACACAAAGAAAGAGCGAAGACAGGAAGTGAAGGAACAAGGAAGACTTTTCTCACTGACATGAATTATGATTATGATTATGTATGAGTCAGCTAATGTCTAGCCAGACTTTTTGCACTTTTCATTCTTTTTCTACGAAGCTTGCTGGTCATTGTGGTCACTTGAATAGAAGTTGTGAGCTTTGCCAGCCCACTAAAAGTGTCAAAACTACTCAGCCAAGCATTTATGCCTGTCAGAGAAACCATTGAGTGGAATTGGTCTCGAAGGACGTAAAAGAAAGAGATATTGCTTTGAAAAAGGCTTGAACAGCAATGAACACCTTTAGAGAAGCGAAAAGCTACCATTTAAGCGACGCCTTAAATTATCTCAGGTATCCGTCTGCTTCTAAAGACATGATGAGGAACTAAAATGAGAAATTATGGTCCAAAAGTGGCCTTCTGATATATGATAGCTTTGAGTAATGCACAGTCAAAATTGAAGTTGATTTTCACTGTTAAACTTATGGTAACCTCTGAGACTGAATCATTGAGTCAGTGTTTTGAACTAGAGATCCAAATCAGTTGTTGACTCAAATAACCATCTTTATTGTGCACAAGTCAGTTGAACCACTTTCATGGTGTCATTTTGGAGTGTGACAGACAGCCCCAGTTCTCATTCACTTTCATTGTACTGTTACATGATTTTCATAGTACAGGCAATGGGGAAAATGAGATTTTATGCTGGTATTCAGAGCTGTTGGACTAGATATATTTTTTAAAAGAATATTTCACCCAAAGAATGAAAATGTTGTTTCCAATCCAGATGACTTTCTGTCTTATAACTGATTGTACAGGTTGTTCCTTTCCATGCAATTACAATGAATGATGACTGGGGCTTTCAAACTTCTAAATTGGCCATAAAGCACAGTAAAAGTGATCAAAAAGTGGCCTTCTGATAGCTTTGTATAATGCACAGTTAAAACAGACGTTGTTTTTCACTGTTAAACTCGGGGTAACCTCTGAGACTGAATCATTGAGTCAGTGAGTTGAACTAGAGATCCAAATCAGTCCGATTCATGAATGAATCATTTAGACCAGTTTTGTGAGCTTGATTAGCCTATTCTTTTAAAAGAATCCAAAGACTCCAAATAATAATTTGTTCACCAAGTTCCTGATGCAGAACTACTGTGTGGCTTTAGAAGACTTAGAATATAGTTGTTGACTCAAATGAACCACTTTTATAGTGCACAAGTCAAATTATGCACATTTGTGATGTGAATTTGGAGCTTTACAGTTTTCATTAGTGATTTTCATAGCATAGGCAATGAGAAAATGTATGCTGGAATGCTGGATTTTATGCTGGTATTCAAAGCTGTTAGACTAGATATCTATTTTAAAAGAATATTTCACCCCAAAAATTAAAATGTTGTTAATAATCTATATGACTTTGTCTTATAACTATTTGTACCGGTTGTTCCTTTCCATGCTGTTACAATGAATGATGAGTGGGGCTTTTAAACTTAAAAAAAGAAAAAAAAAGTAACATAAAAGAGGCCATGTATGATAATTTTGAGTAATGCAAACTGAAGTTGATTTTCAGTGTTAAACTTGGAGTAGCCTCTGAGACTGAATCAGTACGTCTTCAGTCCAATTCATAAAGGAATCATTCATTCATGTTTTGTAAACTCAAAGACTCATTCATAAAATATTCCTCATGAGCATAGTTGTTGAATCAAATGAACCAATTTTATAGTGCACACATCAAATGAACCACTTTTGTGGTGCCATTTTAGAGCTTGACAGCCATAGTTCTCATTCACTTTCATTATATTGATTTACAAATTACCTTTGTGTTTTGCACAAAAAAAAAGACAGTTAAACAGGTTTGAAATTACATGAGATTGAGTAAACAACGGCAGTGTTCATTTTTGGGTGAACCGTTCCTTTAAATGTTCTATTTCACCGAAAGCCATCCATGTTTATTTCCCTCCATGATTGCTTTGGCAATGACTCTCAGACTGTTACATAACAATGCACTCAAAAGATAGGCTCATTTTAAGAGATGTTAAACCTTCATGTTGAAGTTTATATAACAAGATTTTACTACTGATATCTTTATTATGTCACACTTTCTTAAATGTATGTATGTGTGTGTGTCCTCCACAGGTCAGTTGGCAGTAGGCACATGTGAGATAGTGATGTTGAATAGAGACAGCAGTCAACCCAAGCGCACTATCGCCAGGCAGACAGCCCGTTGTGCCTGCCGGAGAGGACAGATCGCTGGCACCACACGGGCCCGACCAGCATGCGTGGACGGTGAGATGCATCCCACACACACACACATTCTCAAATTGTGTGGATGTGCACACACGTATATCCGTTCACAGCATGCAACAAGCCACGTCATGTCATTCGACTTCACTGATGAATTTGCATTGCATTGTTTCTTTTTTTTTGTCTCATGTCAAAATCCTGTATCACAATATAACACAATAGTCAGACTTGCTACATGTAAAGAAATGTTCCGCTCTGCAGCGTGTGCTGTGTCAAAGTCGAGGACGGATGAGGATCGCTGAAAAGGAAAAGAAAAAAATGTAATCTTTGGATTGTGTCTGTCACTGCGGTTTAGGAGGAATATTTGAGCCTGTCTGTTCTGCCGAGCACCGGATGTGGCGGAGTATCTCATGAGCTTTCAGCCTTTCTTAGGTTGTAAACCTGAATATGATGGTAGTCGTTGTTTCTGTAGCAAATAAACCCAACTCTCCTGACAGCTGGGGTCGTGTAGTTTGTTTTTTTTAGCGCAATGTTGTTTTTTGGTAAATGCTATACAGCTTGAGCTCTTCAACGACACATTAGTAGCACTTTGTAACGGCAAGACCAGAGTAATTAACCAAGAGAGTACCACAATTACAGCTGTGGGAAATTGATTTTTATTGGCTTTCTCTGCTGCCTTCATGCTCCATTAGTAGTGGATCCATTAAAGAAGGACCTGTTGCGTGAACACGCACACAAGCTGTAAAATTACAGGTTACCTCATGACTGCTGTACGGAGAAAATTAAAGGGGTCATATGATGCGATTTCAAGTTTTCCTTTCTCTTTGAAGTGTTACAAGCTGTTCGTGAATAGATAAGATCCCTAAAGTTGCAAAGACTAAAGTCTCAAACCAAAAGAGATATTCTTTATAAAAGTTAAGACTGGTCCACGCCCTCCTAAAATGCCTCGTTCAAACACGCCCCCACATGTCTATGTCACTGTGTGGGAAGATTTGCATAACACCGCCCAAATGTTCACACAAAGAAAGGAGTAACTTTATTGTTGCTGCCACCGCCACCGCCATGCTGTGAAGACGCTGTGTGTTTCGTTGTGAAAGCGAAAATATTTTGTTTGGTATTCCAAATGAGGACACGACTAGAAATCAGTGGTTAAGTTGTATTTACAGCACTGTTCCAGAACAGTTCAACCCAAATATTCAGATGTGTGCAACGCATTTTATGGAGGACTGTTTCCTGGAACAGTAGACTGCAATGCCAGCTGTTCTGACTCACAGTCTGCAAGTACGTTTTCATATTTAAAGAATTTGCCACTGACGATTCAAACGCGAGTTTTGAGCAGTGTAGAGTAGCGCTTGTTGTTCGTCATTTCTCCGATCACAAATGCAGACATGGTTTTATGTTTACGCGGCACGATGCAACGCAACCTGTAAAAAGACAGTATAAGTCATTATAATTCGTAATTTTGTCCCCACTGGATGCCACGAATGCCTCATTTATAATGGGTTTTAATGTTTTTGTCTTGTCGCTCCGGGACACGGCATCACAATATGGTAGGGGCTGTAACATTTCCGTCACATGCTTGAGGTATTCAGCCAATCACAACGCACTGGATAACTGGCCAATCAGAGCACACCTCGCTATTCAGAACGATGAGCTTTGTAAAAATCGATGCTTTTCAGAAAGGCGGGCATAGGGGAGAAACAATAATGTACAGTATGTGGAAAATAATGTGTTTTTTTAACCTTAAACCGCATAAACACATTTCATTTCACCAAATACACCAAATAATGTTCTTTTTAGCAGCATCATATGTTTCAAAGTTTCAAAAATGTAGAGATTACATTAAAGATCCATCCATCCACCCATCAGCATTTAATCTATATACCTATTGCTGCTTCTCATCCGGTCCTCATATCCACTGCATTATAGAGCTCAACAGAGGGATTTAGACATTCAAAATGCCAAAATTTCCATGATGAAATTGATTTGTAAATGTATGAATATTTCATGGTACAACTGCCATAAGTTTTGAGGTGAAGCGTCAGGATGTGCTTCTGTACAATCCATAAGTAATTTCTACTTCATTTAGATTTATATTAAAATAACTAAACAAACAAAAAATATATACATATATGCGCACACACGCATGCATACAGTACAGTTTTTTGCAATTTGCATTTGCTTTCCATTGTTGTATGGTTTGTTATGATAGGACAACATTTGGCCGAGAAACAAGTATTTGAAAATCTGGAATCTGAGGGTACAAACAAATCTAAATATTGAGAAAATCCCCTTTAAATTTGTCCAAATGAAGTCCTTAGCAATGCATATCAAAAATTAATGGAACGTGATCTTTACTTAATACCCTAATGATTTTTGGCATAAAAGAAAAATCGATAATTTTGACCCATTCAATGTATTGTTGGCTATTGCTACAAATATACCTGTGCTACTTAAAGGCAGAGTAAGTGATTTCTGGTAGCCAATGTTGATATTTGAAATCACCAAAAGAGTGTAATGCTCTGATTTTATTTAACTTATTTTATTTAATGTTTGTATTGCTAAGATTTTGGTAAGATTTGGTAAGATTTTTTATGTTTTTGAAAGTCTCTTATGCGCACCAAGGCTGCATTTATTTATCACAAATACAGTAAAGCAGTAATATTGTGGAATATTACAATTTAAAATAACTGTTTTTCTGTTTCAATATACTGTCACGTGGTCTTTCAAAAATCATACTAATCATGCTAACATGCTGAATTGGTGCTCGAGAAACATGTTATTATTGACAATTTTGAAAACATTTGTGCTGATGAATAGACAATTCAAAAGAGCAACATTTGTTATGTATTTATTTAGATGTTGGTGGTGCTTTAATTAGGGACTTTACCACTTTTTGTTTTTGAACAATCTACGCTTCAAGCTAAAATTATCTACATTTTAAAAATGCTTCAGGGCTTCCAATTAAGATTAGTTGCCAGATTAGTTGACATGTCCTTCAGGCAGCCCACCAATATTTATAGTTTTGCACATCGCTAAATCATTACTTATGGCTTTTTTTAAAACCATGAAAAAGAATAGAAATGTATTTCCTGAGCTCACAGCAATGAAAAACTGTGTGCGCTCTGTTGAGCTCTATTCGGTCAGATGGCAGTCTGCAGGTGAGGCTGTGTCTGGCAGATGAGTCCGGGGGGCAGATGGTCAAGGGTCCCGGGGGAGAGGGGGAGGCTATGCGCGGGTCAGGTCCCTGCAGACGTCTGAATCGGTGTAGGTGAATTTTTTTGATGAACTATTCCTTTAAGTATTAACTCTTCCTTTAAGTAGTTGAGGTTCTCATGACATTCTTTGGAGAAATGAAAATAAAAATGAGAAATGTTTGAGTTCATATCGACCTTGGTATTCTGTCAA